CCCCGCCACTCCCACCGTCCCCCCACCTCTCTCCACATTCAGTGCCATTTACGTATTTTTCTTTGAGCTGAAGGTGAAATTACCTGTGTTAAAATTGTTAGTCTTTTTTAGAAGCATGTGAAGTTTTAAAGACATAAGTGTATTTATTCCATACAGATGGAGCAATTCCTGTAACTGACCAGGAACAATTGGAGACACTCGTCACGTTTTGGAATTTACTGTTTCCCCAATGGTGGCCGAAGGGTCTCTGATCCAGAATTGTTTTAGGTGTAATCACAAAGAAAGGCCGATAGAAATTGTGCTTCACTTGACACATGCAGTAGTTCTTTAAAAATTACTCTAAAACCATGCTGTTTCCTGGCTACAGCGGCCCCCTTTATGTAGATTAGGTAAAATTGGACTTAATTGTTTGCAGTTTTAGCATTTTAGTTTTGAAAACTCCTGCAGTTCCTTGAGCTTCTTTACAAAATAGAAGCGTGAGAGCCTCTTGTCGCCCAGATAGAAGACTGCTCCCCAGAGCAGCCAGTCGTCCTCGACTTGCTCAGTCCCTGCAGTACCCGGGACGTTTCCACGGTCTAGAAATAGATAAAACCTAAGAACATCACAGTGGAACTTCCCAGTGTTAAAACACTTCGTATTAATGTAAAAATGACGCTTGCTAATTAAAGCATGAAATGTATTAATTTAGTTTTTAGGGTTGTGTATTAATCCCTGTGTGTAATTAATTGCTTGCAGATGCTTGCTGGTCCTTTCAAGCCGTGTTCTCATTAGGTATTCCTCAATATTCCTGAGGGGAAGAAAGGGGACAGTCGTTTGATGTTTTCTTAATTGAAAGAAGCATTTAAATACCAAGCTGATAGATCATTTGGTGCAAACTGTTAAAGAAAAATCCTACAGATTATTGGGAAAAGAACTTGGTCTCAGGAGCAAGGCGACCCTCTACCACTCCTGCCTCACAGCCCGAGCAAGCATCTGGCTTACACAGTCATTCCTTGTAAGGGGAAAGGGAGACAGGCTTTTTCCCATTAAAAAAAAAGTTACCAAGGTCACGCATTCTCACTGTAAAAAAATACAAACGGACATGAAATGAAAATTGAAAGTCTCCTTCACACTCCATTTATTTCTAATACAAAGGGTTTAGAAGTTTATCAAGGATTAGTAAAGCACAGTAATTAGTAGTGATCACTATATTATGTCCTATCTTTTAGTTTCAGGTTTACTTTTTATTTAAACTACTACTCTCCGTGACTATCTTTACTATTATTATTATTTTTTTACTGGTCTCCAATTTTTTTCTTTCCTAGTTTATTCCCATGCCTGTACTCTATGGCGTGTTCCTGTATATGGGGGTAGCATCCCTTAATGGGGTCCAGGTAAGTTTTCCACAGCATCTAAGCATAGTCATGTTTTACTAGCAAGGCTACTCCAGTAGCAGATCTTTGAAGGAAAATGCTAATTATTTGCTAAGTCTTTAAAGTGCATTTATTTTCTACTCTACCATTCACCTACTTTTCATTTTCTGATTTAATTAACAAAGTTAGTTTGTGTTAACAAATATTATCATACATATCGTTTAAAATAGGCTGTTAAAAGTCATTTGACCAGAAAAGAGAGCTTTGATCTTCCCCCCCTTCCTCCCTCTCTCCCTCCCTCCTTCCTCCCTCCCTCCCTCCTTCCCTCCCTCCCTC